TCATCACTCTGAGATTCTGAACATTCTCCATAGAGTAACATCCATGTACAGTTTTCTTGGAAAGGTGTGAAAAAGTTCTCTTGTGTAACTTTCCATAAATTTCAGGTAAAACGCGTACAATACAATGATCTGAGTTAAACAGTGGAGCTCTTTTAAGGGCTTCGTATATTCCGCAGTCATTTATAAATACAAGACCAAGAGAATTGTCCAGTCTGGTGGGAAAGTTAACAGCATTTTCATGACCTATCACTGTGAGAAAGCTGCAGTCACATGAATTAAAATCACCTGTCACTATGGACAGGGAGTTACCAAAAGAGGCGGCAGCGAAAATAGTGAATTCATCAGCAAGCATAGATAATTCTGAAGTGCTACAACAAGGTGTGATATAAATATTCGTGATATAAATGAATTTGTATTTAGATAGGTGTTTAGGTCGACATTTGACAGTTATACAGTCAATATTATCATTTGAGAATTTAAAACAGACGTTGTTGGCAACAGACCACTGAGAATTGATGAAAGTAGCAACACCACCACCTCGCTTCTTCCCTGAACTACTTCAGTCTTGTCTGTACATGTTGAAACCATTTAGTAAGATTACGTTGTCACCATATGATTCGTGTAGCCAAGTTTCTTGAAGCGTTATTACACCTGTATTACGGTAAATATTCCAACATAATAGATCATCCAAGTAATTAAACTTGTTCGAAAATGACCTGCAATTTGTGCTCATAATCACAGGAACAGTCATCTGATGCATTGGAGTACACTTTAAGGATCTTTGCCACCCACCATGATGCTTTTTCTTAAGGTTATTATATACTCGTAAATTATCCAGTTGAAAACATTTTAAATAGTCGCCAGAGTAAGTAATACGTTTTGGACGCATAATTGAATAAATAAAACAAAATAAATCCAAGTAATTAGATGCAATATAACTGACGGAAAATTTTGGTAGCCCAAGGTTCAAGCAGGCCGCCATACGCTGCTTATCCTTTTGTTATGTTAACCCATGACATTTTTATTAGAATAGCTGTGATGGTAGCATTGCATTACTTCGTTTCCGTCTCAGTCTCACAAGATATTGTGGGTTAATTGCTTTCACGACAAATGCTTCCCAAAATGTCACCAGACATAGATACCTGAGGACATTCTTAGTGGTGTTACCTGCCCAAATGCATACTTGCATACAGAAAGATTGGTGCTATGGTCTAGAAAATTAAAAGTTTGGAATGTATAAAGCATGAGTGGTCAATACTAGGGCAAATCACGTCAAATTCTATGGAGCGGGATGAAGTGATTAGTGAAACTGCAGGAAACCAGTTAATTAGGTCCCTTGGGGGACTTCTGAATTTCTTCTAGTTGGCTGAAACCAAATATAGCGTTCATGGTTGCTGTGTGGCCATCTATCCTGCAAGGTTCAAGCCTAGGCCACACTGCCTGCCGACTCATCAGTTTGACCTACACATCCTAGTGGCCAGTATGGTCTTAAAACCCCCCTCAGCTACGGTAGGGTGAGTATAACGTTAGCGAATGTTCAAGAGCATATTTACTCACGATAAAACAAAAATGTAGAGATACACAACAAATTCGCAATGCACAGTGGTGCTCTTGTTCCCAATTTTCAGCCATCTGACCCTACCAGCACAGATGAACTTCTTTGATCCCCTACATTATTACTAGTAGTAAGGCCATATAGAATGATCTTGAGGAAAACAATCAGTAGGTAGAACTTAATATGCTGATTCTCATGGCCGTTAGGCATTACAAGGTAATCCATCTACATATTTTGTGAAAATATTACTAAACGAATTTTGAAATATCACGTTTTACACATACATAAATGATGGGTCACTATGGCTTAATGCAGTCATTTCCACGCGGAACGATGGTGTTTTATGCTGCATATAGACATAATTACACCAAAGCCACTTACTGAGGTGTATAGGGGGGATAAACAGCGAGTTCGGGGAACATCTGTCTTATAAATGATAGGATTTTACCAGACTAGGATTGCGCGTCGGTAGACCAGTTATGCGAATTGATGGCCAAATGCTAAGCTTAAACTAGTCGGTGATACCACATGCTGAAATTGTGATTGGTGTAACTGCCTTAGTTAAAGGGTAGGATGTGTTATTTTTTACTTTCCCAGCAGAAGATTCCATCTTTTAAATGGCCTAGGGAGGACATGTGAATGTGTTTTCCACGCTCCTTTGAATTTATCCGGCCTTTCAAATGATCTAATTTCAGAAGGTGGTTGCTTGCAAGGGTCACAGTTCCTTACTGTGGCAGAGTTGACCCCAGTGGTTCCCTTGTGGGTCGCAACCTTGACCAGATAGTCAGGGTTAGGTAATTTTTTGGTTTAAGATCAACTAACGCTACGGATGAGTTACCGTAACGGAATTTCTAATGCTTCGAACAGAAGGGATAATTCATATGTTTCTAATCCTCACTTAACCATATCTGTAAAGACAATGTGTTTGTTGGTCAAACCTTTTGTAATAGTGTAATATCTCTATTCTGGACAGTATCTATATAATGTGCGAGATTTTCAGAATAGTTTACTACATGATATTTTCCCACCGTAAAATGTCTTCAAGTAAAATATCAATCGTCAGTTTATCGTGTGACACAATGGACTCTTAGCTGAGGCGCAAACCATTACATTATGATATATATGCTTTGTCTCTTTCAAGGAATCCACGATGTCTTGTTGAAAGCCAATTGTAAGATGTTCAGAAGTACATTTTGGGACCTAGGGTAATAAATGAATAACAGTTATCTCATGTATTGGAACACTTTACCACCCACAACCAGCTACATCCTTAAGTTCAGTAGGGACTTGTGAACAATGAGCTTGTAAACATTTTTTGATACACACAAGAGTAGATAGTACCATCATAGGTCATATCCTAATCGATCAAAACAAACCAAATGGGAGAAAATATATGCAATAGACAGATGGAAGTTTTTGGTAGCCAAGAGGGAGGGTGGCGCATGCTGGTCAGCAGATATGATGGCGATCACATATGTAAATCAATCCGATCTTTAGGACAGCGACATGCATTTTTGACAGCTAGAGAATTTAACATGAGTCTAAATCCGTAACATAAAAAACAAATTAATAACTGTGCAGATCTACGTTATTAAAAAATGCTTTTGTTCCTAACACCTACAAGCCTGCTTAGCTTCTTGTCAATATGCTATCCCATGAGCCCTACAGAAATTCGTGAGGCATCTAACAGGTCATATCCAACAGGTTCTAATGTTTCAGATCTTAGAAGCCACTTTTCACTGAAATATGGCTTATCTACCTCACGATAATCTTTTTATTTGCGCACTAATATGCTCTATTTTACCTTGACTACCTAGGCCTTTATTCAGGCTAAAAGTTACTTTTTGTTCATAATCGTTGCTTGCTTAAACTCTGATTACTTTGTTGAACAACACAATAACACCAGCATTCAGGGAAAGCCATATTTTCATCGAAAACGCCACAGTTTCCATGCTTGGACCAATATGGTTGGTATTAAACATTGCAGATGTATACTATCATTCCAAGTACTCTATCGCTCCTTCTCGTATATGTCTTGTGAATGTACTGTCAATGATGTATTATCCATAATTGTATTTTATGCCATTTTGCAGCTTACCGAGACATTCTCCTCTTCCTGAAATAGCTTTTAATCACGGGGCGGCATAGCATTTACTTATATATACGGTGTTCAATGGTGACCATAAATGTCAGCAGGAAACGGAACGAAGTTTGGGTTGTCGCTTGACTTCGATGGTGACCTTAGTGAACAGTTTACAACTGAACATTTATACGAATCTGTTTCGATTGCTTGTACAATAATCGAACAATTTCAACATTTGAAAAGGTGCTGATGTGATACTTTACGATTATAATTTATAACACAACTGATCGTGCCTGTAAAAATGGCATGGAATTCGTGTAAACGTACCTGTTTATACGAAATTTAAATTATTATTACTGTGTCTCCAGATCCGTGTCTGTTTTAGGTGTAAGAGGAGGTTACCATACATATACAGACAAATTCTGAGTTTCCAACTACCAAAATAAGCCATTGAGTACATATCTGGATTAAAAGTCAATTGTCACTCTTCGCTCCATCACTTAGACTGTTTAATTCGTGTTGGATTCTACTTTTAACACTAAATTAAAAGTATTTTAAGAAGAAATAATGCACCTAATTGGTGGGTTCCATGATATTTTTTCCGCTGGAGGATTTCCATAACCTGTCTACCCACTGAAAAAGATTCATTGATTCACTTTGAAACTTACATGGGATAAATTCAGACGTATGTTATTTTGTTAATACCCTTATCTTCGTCTTCCCACACAGCGCTCACTTTTGTTCAGGATGCAGTTATACTTGGCAGGAGCCTCTACTCCCAATTCATTGCTCAACCGCGCTCTTCCACGTTTTGCTTTTTGTCAACCACTCGTCAGTTGACAGCCAATTTACAACTTTGACTGGTGGAGACACGGTTCATCCCACCAGACTGGGTGCCTGGGGCACTTCTGAAAGTCAGTGCACATATTATATCCATGAGTTTACGTACACCTGGCAGGATCTGGAACTAGGTTTAGTAAAACCACAGAATGGACGACCTAAGTCCCTGCCACCAGATACAATGAGACTCTTTGATTCCATGATGTTTTCCACTCAGGACAAATTTCTTCTTAAATGGTGCTGCTGGGCGGAAGACAAGTTATTCTTCTGAGAATAAACCATGACATAGCTCTGGATCCTTTTATATTTTAGATTAAGGTGAGGGTACGATGAAGAGGTCTGTTTTTAGAGATTGTGGTAACAAAGTTGTGACAAATCTGCAGCTAGGTAAATAATTTTTGGTGTAGTTGTGTCTTGTCAGATGTATGACTTGGTTGCTAGTAAACCATCCAGCCAAAAGAACACAACTACACCAAAGATATTTATGATAGCTGAAAACTGGCCAGTTTTATTTTCCACGTAGGCGCTTCGGTTGAATTAAAGGTCAGTTCTGTGTGTGAATGGTTTCTGGGTTCTTTCAGGTTTTGTTCTCTCCCCACAACACTTCACTATATATAAATTACAGGGAAAAATGTTACTCAGTAACTGAAAGCACTTTTGAACGGTAAATATCGTAAACATGAGTTACAACACCTATAAAACAGCACCCATTGAACAATCTTGAGGAAAATTAAAGTTTTAGAGCTCAGGAGAAATTTTAAGTGAATAATTCTAGTGATTTCTGCCTAATTTTGAGGGATTCAAGAAAATACTAACATTTAAATGTATATCGAATTCGATGTGCGTCGGTGTCACAGCAGTCAGGACGCTCGCCGTCCATGCACATGGTCCGGAGTTCGGTCCCCGAGCAATGCACATCTGGTATCAAAGGTCACCCTGCTAAATTTGGGCCACCGATATCACATGCTGAAAATTCCATAATTGTTCTAAAATACTGTGTGGAATCAATCTATAGTAAAATATATATTTCCCCAGAGCTTTTCATTTGGCTGCCCCACAAAAACCTCAAAATTAGAACCCCCATATTGTGCCCGATTGAATAATCTTGGGGAAATTTTAGGGCCATAGGGAAAATGCCGATATTTTGAAGTATTTTCCCCGAATTTCCCATAAGTTTTCATATTAATCTGCCCTAGAAATTTTTACTTCGGTTGTGTACATATGTATATACACGCATATCCCAGGTTAATTAAATGTTCTCCTCGGTTCCTGTAGTAGAAAAATTCTCTAACTACGTAGTGTATCCGACTTTGATCTGATTTGGAGTGAAGGTATCCCTTGTAGTTCTGTCCTTCAGTTTCTGAATGTTAAACTTCAGCTGTTCTGAAGGATCTTAGCTTCACCCTGAAGGTTCCTTGAACTAGATGATAGTCTAAGCCCACATCTTCTTCCCTTCTCGACTTTGTTTCCAGCAGGCTAGCTGCGTCTCCACTTCTATGAGTAGCATTGAGGTGAAATCTATCTGGTGTTTAGCGCGTCCGTCAGGTGAAATCCATGTTGCATTAGGTATATCCTTGTGTTTGTATACGCTGCCTCCGAACACCAAATCATTGAAGGCGAAGAATCCTCCGTTCTCATTCATTTCGCCGAAAGCCTCTGGATCTATGATGATTTCTTTTCCTGTATTGTTTGCACCAAGTTTGGCATTCATAAGGATTTTGATGTCACCATGTGGGATGTTGTCCACTACTGTTTGCAGTTGTCTATAAAAATCTTCCTTCTCTTGTTTTGAGTTGTTTGTGAGTGCGTAGCATCGGATAATCGTAACCTTCCTGCCTTCCTTTTGAGTTGAATCTTTCTGTCGTAATCTTGGAGGAGATTGGTTCCTACTGCATTCGAGCTTTGCTGCCATTGGTGACATCTTAATAGCCACTCCTCAGTGTGCTTGTGGTTGTCATCTGGATGACCGGAGTAGATTACTGACTCTTCAGTTAATAATTTCGATAGTCCACATCCATTCCAGCTGCTCTCATAGATTCTGGTCACTTCTATACCATATCTTTTTATTTTGGCTACCTGAGCAGTCTTCCCAGTTTTGTGCATTGCTCGAACACTCCACGTCCCCATTCTTACTTCTCACTAAACAGATGTTGTTTGTTCTTTTCAAAACAAACCCCTTTATGTTTTATTTGGCGAGAGCAGCTATAATATTTGGTAGAATACAAATATCCAAATTGATCAACGAGATTGGCTATAAAAAGTTGGGTGCTTAGTAAGGTTATAGGTCAGCACGACAGTTTAGTGATTCATTTGTAAAGTTAGGCAACTAGGCAGAATACTAAGGAACAGTTTAACTGGCCTACAGATATATTCTGAAAGGGCATCAAGAAAGAGTAACAAATGAGTAAAAGCAGTGGGGTCTGAATCTATGTTTGCAGAAGACAGTGAGTCAAGATGATTAATCAGACTGATTGAAATTTTAGCTGAGATTCAGCATAAGTCAAAGGTAATTTCTAATTTTGAGAGTTGGAAGTCGGAAAAGAAAAAACCTAGTGTTTACAGAGTAATTAGTTTGACCGTTATGGCTGTTCAAATCTTAAGGCCTAATATGTTACGACGCCTAGCCACACCTATAAAGTAAAGTGCTGGGAAAACCAAGCCGGCAGTGCGTGTGTTCGCTGGTCCCCTCCAATTGAACTCCGCTGTTTATGCAATTTAGGTCTATGTAATCACATAGATAACAAATAGTTTTTATAAATGGTATATTTGTGAATAAAGGACAAACATTTAATGAAATCATATGCTTTACCGGTCACATTAATTCCATCAATGCAACTTACGAAGTCAAAAGCGTCCGAAAGACTGTTTACATAGATTTGATATTTCTAGTTCAAGGATTTCAGCGAGCAATTTCGCTGTACCATAATAAGGAGAGTTCAGCATATCCAATATAGGTCGCACGTTATGCACGTTAGAAAGACTATATAAACGAGGAATGGTTGAACCAGGCGACTTAAGGTGTTTATAAATATACGGAGTAATAATATATTCGTCCTTCAACTTCATCAAGGTTTTTGACAATTCATTCGCAATCTTACTATTTTTGGTTCTCTGTCATTTACCTTCTACTTGATGTTTGGATATCAGATATGGCAACTTAAACCAATACGCCATAATTCTGGGCCCTATATTAATGCCATCTGTCACATCATTTTCCTGTTGCAGTGGATTGCATAAAGACCTTGTCCAATTGTAAATAAGTTCTATTCTTTGGGATTTTATGTAATATAAACTGTACTGAAACCAGATAATTTCACCGACGACTTTTCCACCTCTATTTAAATTAATAAGTTGAAATGCAAATGGTGGAAAAGGATTGTTAATCTTGCAAGCACTCGTACTGGAAGTTGCCAAGTGTCCGTTTGTCAACTGCTGTAAACTAGTTGTTTTTCGTGCTTTAATCATTTTCACTCTTATTTCGCTGTTCGTATGTTGTCTTCATGAAATACTCATTTTTCTGTAACTCACACATTGTATTTGTTTTATTCATACCAGTTCAGCGTTGTCTGCAGTTAGAAACTAAAACCATATCAAGATCTACTCTTATTGTTTGGTGAATGGAATAAACTTTGGAAGCATCAGCTCAGTGATTTTCAAATTACCATCTGCGGTTACTGTTAGCGGATAGTTGTCATTTTTAACGATATGAAAACACGTAGTGCATTAGTAATGGAAGCTCCAAATATTGCAGCAATTGTGAAAGCTCGACACCATGCTCGTGTTGTTTGTCCTACAAGCACCCATCCATCAACAAGTACGCAAAGTCAGTTAGTTTCCGGTACAATAAATGATCCTTCTGAGAATGGCAGTAATATGACTAACTTGTGTAATGCACCTACAACAAGTGGTCAGACAGTCGGCGACGAGGTAAGAGTTCCAGCAGAAGACAAAGTTCATAAGAATCGTTCTGGTTTGTAGTATTATAATATACTGATATTTTTAATAATTAGAAAATCCTCCTAAATTGTTACGTGGATCTTGGTCACCAGATGATCGCCGTTTATTTTTTCAAGCAGTGAGATTAGTAAGTTGATTCTATCATTCATTTTATCTCTTCATAATCACGAGTTCATTTTTACTGTTTTTTTCTCTAACCTGAGTTTTTCTTTCTCTAAAGAACAACAATCAAGAAAATTCATATTTGTAATTAAAGTATAGATATCAAATGTTTACACTGCAGAGTATAAATTAAAATCCAGATAAAAATTATAGTTACTAATAGGCACAAATAGTAGACAGAAATGAGAACACTAGATAGGAAATATATATCAATATATTCGCTCAGTATAACTGGACGGAATCCAAATCAATTAACAATTCTCATTCAGGTTTAGGATATTATTGTTGCCATCTATACAGCTTTTCAGAAAACTTGTTTCTGTGTTCACTACAGCAAGCTTGACAGAAGAAAACTGATATGTTTCTCAAGTATTTTTGTCAAATCATCATCAAATGCTTGTTATTTATATAAAAATGACAACTATAAGAAGTCGAAATTATGTTCCATCAGTAGTATTTCGTAACAAGGTATGACTGCAAGTGCAAACAAACCTAATCCGAATAAACAACTAGGCATTAATAATTTTGATTCTTACAATGAGTGTATATTTTCTTTATTAAATCAGTCGCATTTCTTTAGCTCTTTTCTAAACTTTTGCACAAATTATTAGAGAATAAACACTTATATGAGCCTTGTAATTTAATCGTTTTAGTATGGACGCAATTTCAACGAAATCACTCGTTTTATTCGATCTCGTAGACATCGTACGACAGCAGATCACCAAACTGTAACATCAAATAACAGTACGGAACTTAATTCAAACAATCCTCATTCTGGAAATAACCTGGCTTCTTCAAGCAGTATGCCAACATCTTTAGGTTCATCTACTCTAGGTGCCCCACATTCCAGTAATACTTCTCAGTCGTCTACTGGTGTGAACACAGCTTTTGCCAGCAATTCTGATGGTAGTGGTCGAACACGTGAACAGGTTCGTTTCTTTTATCAGCAGACATGGCACAAAATACGTCGTTATGTTAAGTTTCCTGATGAAGTTCCTCAACATGTTAGAGAGGTCTACGCAATTGTCAACTATTCTGTGATTCGTACACGTATCAAAAAACGTAAGTTTGAGGGGTTAAATTTTTGCCTCCTGTCGTTAAATCTGACTGATATGCAGTCACTGGTTGTCTTTAATAATTGTGAATTGTTATTCAGACGGATTCTATGTTTTTACTCAATAAGCTTAACTAACAGCAGCCTTGAGATGGTTAACTCTTCATTATTTAATGTTTACTGAAGACAGCAGTCTTCTTAAATTACGTCACTAAATAGCACATGTTTCAATATGAAACGAATGTATTCCTATGGTAGTGATTGATTTACATTTTAGTTCTGAAGAGTAGCCCCGAGTCATTGTTGTTGTTTCGGTATGGTGGAGATTGAGTGTATTCAATTCCATCTTTCGAAATAATTTTGTTTGCACATTTTCATCCCCTTTCAATTGAGGTTCTATCCACCTTCAAGTGTCGAGAGGCATTCTCACAAGAGTGAAAAGACGAATAGAAATATCCATCAATTATCGTTCGATGACTTATTTAGGACTGAAAAAGCACAGTTTTCGCTCATTGGTGCACATGAACCCCAAATAATATGTAGATCTGCAAAAAACCATGGTATTAATGTCCTGATTTCGTTTGACTCCCTTGGATTAGACTATTCGGCAAAAACTATGGAATTGGTCCCTTAAGACAGCTATTTGTTTCGATTCAGATGTCAAGACAATATTTTAGCCATCACGAACTATGTATCGATCATTAAATAAGATAAAAAATTGACTTAGTGGTCTCTAATAATTGGTTAATAATGTGTAGAGCGGTATACATAAACAATAATTTTTTCCTTCATCGCTGGATACTCATAATTCTGATGTATGAATGATTTTGCTAAGTTGCTTGTCTTTGCTTGAAATCCTGGTCTGGCTTTACCGTGTGGTGAGAGATGGTTGCTAGCCAAATTGGTTGACAGTAATTGAGGTCAATGTTAGTCATGTGAAAACAAGGTCAAGATGGACAGGCGGATACAGTTAACATATATATGAACTGACACAGCCACAAGAGATGCAAGGTTAACTTTGTGTGAGAAACAACCAATCAACAGACTGTATTTTCTACTAACATTAACCTACAATAATGTACATTAAAATCTATAAATATGTGTTGATTTTCGTAATAAACGTTCTGTTGCCTGGCCCTTGTCTTCTGTTGTTACCACCGTTTCGTGTCGTTAAACAGTTAATTTTATAAGACGCCTCCGTGGATCTTCGTTTTAGGTAGCTATTGTGATACTCTTGACGATCATGTCTCAGACGGATCTAATTATTATTTATTTATTTATTATTTTATTTTTTATTTTGGTTACAGCCTGATGCCACATCGTATTTTCAGTACAAGTATGACATTTTCAGCATGGATATCGGTAGCCCAAATTTTGCAGGCCGACCATAGATATCGGGTGTGCGTCGGTAGGGGTTCGAACCCCGGACCATGTGCATGGTCGGCGAGAGTCCTAACCACTGTGCCACCGACGCACATAATAACTGAATGGTGCACACATCTTTTATTGGATGTATGAATATCACGCGTGTGCCAAGTATGAATCAAGTTAGCCAATGCCAAACAGGCCTTCTCTGTCTGAGTTAAGATTTTGTCAGCACCCAGTCCATTAAAACTGATGTAAATTCCCGAATAATAGCTTTATTCTGAAAAATGCTCTTATACACAATGCAGAATTTTCAGCAAGCTTCATTACAAAGTATTTACTCCTTGTGTAGAATCTTCGAATAATATAATAATCGATAATATATCTTCTGAAATAATATTGTTTTACCCTAAGCTTCACAACTTTCTTCCTCGATTTCCTCGGAAAAATTCTTAGCGGTAGATAGAAACTTATTTGAAATAATAATGTGCCAGTATGAATTGTGACTCATTGTGGTAATTTTATATCATTAAAACAATATGAAACGGAGTAATTGCGATGCATTTTGATGGACAGAAAATTTAGGTAGCCCAGTGATTTAATCACTTGACTCTCCCTATCTTGATGTTAGGAGTCGGTGCGATCATCGTCTTACTTTTGATAGAAACAAACAGTATATATATATATATATATATATATATATATGTAACAACAGAAGACAAGGGCCAGGCAACAGATCATTTATTAAGGAAAATCAACACTTATTTATAGATTTAATGTACATTATTGTAATTATAGTCGAAAATGCAGTCTTTTGATTGGTTGTTTCTCACATCTCTTTGTGGCTGTGTCAGATCATCCATATGCTAACTGTATCCGCCTACGCAAAGACTTTGTTCTCATTTCCTCACCACCGATATTGGGGACATAAACATTGACGTCAGTTACTGTCTACCAACTTTGGCTGGCAGCCAGCTCTCACCATATATATATATATATATATATATACATATATAATCATTTAAATTTAATACTTTACGTCATATTTTACGTATATTTGTTGTTTTAGCACTGCATCATCGATTGGGTGAAAAACTCAATGAGTTGATTCATTGTGGGTAAGTTTTTCTTTTTCTTGTTATTTCTATCAAACTAGAGTTACTTAATCCTGTTCTTATGAATACCTCATAATATATCGATTTAACAAAATACTTCCTTGAAAATAATAACAGGTGGTGATGTTAAATCAAGTCTTTCACAGGAATCGACTTACCAGAAATACACTCGGTGCTCAATTTCAACGGCTTTATTTATCTTATCAAATATCTTTTATATGTGCTGTCATATATTCAGTGGACATTCGCTGACTAATTGAATTCTGAGAATAGAATCCCTCAAACTTTTTAAATGCATTTCTATCATTATTGTATCTGAATTCTACTTAGTATGATAGAATTTTGAAGTTTCCGGCTTCATACGAGAATTAATGGTACACTAGTGGTGTCGTTAAAGTTCAATATCGAGCACTTGTTGAATCATCCATCACTACTTACCATATTTATAGAGACTATTTTTTTAAGTTTATGATAAGCCCAATTTCAATCTTCTGTATAACCGAAGTCATAATAAGCTGGGAATCCTGAAGTGACCTCTTGTGAATGTCTTAGGTGGTGGGTTTGCAGTAAACTTGACTAAGCGCATAGCAGTAATAAGTGCCGTTCTTCTACTTATTTCCACTTTCCTTTTCGCGAAACTTGATATCATTCCATGAGAACATTTTCTCTAGTTGGTTTGTAAGGACTAGTTTTGTTTTTACGAGTTGATCACGGATTGACGTCAGTTCGAGAACCCTTGAAAACCAGGCAGTACTGGACAGCTATTTCTTCCTAGTTTGGGAATCATTGGCAGTACGCACCCACTGGGGTTCGAACCGAGGACCTCTTGGTTACGAGGCAAGCTCGTATAGCAATCAACCACTGGAACCCGATTCAATGGCCCATGAATTTTAACTTCTACCAATTCGTGATTATAGCGCGACCACCAACCAATATCATCGGTGGGACATCCATCCTCACACGTGACATCTGGATGAACCCCACTGGTCACGACTTCTCACTAGAACTACAGGAAACTCCATCATGCAACAAGAGACTAGCAAGCATCAGATTAAAAATCAATCGGCGTACTGCCGATGATTCCCAAACTAGGATGAAACAGCTGTCCAGTACTCCCTGATGGTTTTCAATGGTTCTCTAACTGATATCGATCCGTGGTCAAGCTAGAGAAACAAACCTAATCCTTCCAAATCAACTCTTGAAAATTCATCTCATGCTCGTTAGGACAGAGTTTCCTGGAGTTTTAATGAGAAGTCGTGACCATTGAGGTCCATCCAGTCAAGTGTAAGGATGAATTTCCTGCCGAGAACGTTGGTTGGTAGTCGCACTAAATCATGAATTGGTAGAAGTTAGAACTTATGGGCCATTTAATCGGCTCTACGTTAATTTGTTTCTATGGCTGAAGGGACGAAATGAACCATCCCATATTAGACTACTTACAAGTAGCAGAAAAATTAAAATAAAATTATGTATAAAAATAACTTTTTGTTATGCAGATTTAGATAATATTTCGGATCCTATATAGCAAATCAGATGCCAACTGGGACAGTTTTGGAACTTAAATATTACTTTGATCCCATAAGGTCGAATTCATAAGGTTTTAATGGTAGGTTTAACTTAATTCTTTTAGATGGATATTTACCTAACTGAGGATGTCTGACGACTATTACTAAAGTCCGATAGTATTTAATTGGTGTAATAATATTGATACTATAACGGTAGAAGATGAGAGACTTGGTGAGGGAATGTTTATTTGGAATCTCGGTATCTCTGCATAGCGAAATTATGTACACATTTTCTTCAACGCACCATTTGCACAGATCTTCCGTGTTGTGCTACTTCTGGCCTTCCTTCATATTGTGTTTCTTTACTTTCCTTTCACGTCTCCCATGTATCTCCACAACGCTGTATCATTTGCTTCATCACACCTTCATTATGACATGAGGATGGGACATTTAAATCTCTTCCCATTATCATACCGAAGGAGGAGAGGCGACTTAATTTTGGCTTACCGTATATTCAAGGTTGATTTAGGGACTGAACTTTAAGAAATTTTCTCTCCCTCTTGGATACATTTACCAGATCACCACACGAAAGTGCTCGAACCGAGGTTGAGTAAAATACGTATGGAATTTAGATTCTCTCACAGAGTGGCCAACGACTGGAACTCCCTACCTGATTCAGTAGTAACAGCTCGGTGAACGCTTTCAAAGAGAAACTAGATCTCTGCAGAGATACATATCTCAAGGATTAACATAGGCAGCAATAGCCTTCTATCATTATAATCTAAATCTGAACCCAAGGGAATAATAATGATAATTAATATTGATAGGACAAAAATTATAGGAAAAAAAATTGGCAGAGTTGATAACATGCTGCCATAGAGAGAAGGGTGAGTCCCGCCAACTGGTAGTTAAATAAGGTTTGAGAAATTTAAATTGAAAATTGATTAGAGACTGTTTCTAAACAAACTGGATACTCGCGATAATGAGCTATGAGTTTAGGTCACAAGCCGACACTAATTTGAATGTCACGAAAACACACTTAGGCATCACTACTGAGAGGAAAGCCTTCCATTTGCCATATATACAAACCGAACTTCACCCAGTAGTATCCAAACTTGCTGACTGCTCCAAAAGTTTCCCACACAAATCAGTTCCTACGGCAATTGAATGGACCGTTAGTGAAGTAGCCAACTGGATTAAGGATATTGGTTTTCCAGAGTATACGGTAAGAGAGACAAATTAAAGTAAATAGTATGCTTATAAAGGAATGTTTCAGAGTCAACAATATTGATGGTAAGCAACTGATAAAAATCGAAGCTTCAGCACTTCCTAAAATGGGGATCACTAAGTGGGATGATATAAAAGTACTCCATGTTAAAAGGCATAATGATAAACTGTATTTCAGATTTTGACCAAACATATTCGTGAACTCCTTAATCTTGAAGATCCAAATTATTATTATTATTGTTCCCTTGGGTTCCTAGTGGAACATAGGGCTTCAACTGCACGTCTCCACTTGCTTCTGTCTTCTGCTGTTCTTTTCACTTGCGTCCATGTTATTCCATACTGTTTCATCTCCTCCTCACACGATCTCCTCCATGTCACCCTTGGACGTCCCACTCGCCGCTTCCCTTTCGGGTTCCACTCGAGGGCTTGACGCGCGATGTCACTCAACGGCCTCCTCAGCGAGTGTCCAATCCATCTCCACTTTCTCCTGCATATTTGTTGAGCGATTGGTTCCTGTTTCGTTTGTTCCCATAGCTTCTTGTTTGTGATTCTTTCTGGCCATCTAATCTTCAGTATGGAGCGAAGACAGTTGTTGATAAAGGTCTGCAACCTGTTGAAAATATTCTTGGTGACCCGCCAAGTTTCTGATCCGTAAAGCAAAATTGACTTGACGTTTGTATTGAAAATCCGAATTTTGTTGTTGATGGTGAGTGACGAAGATTTCCAGATTGGTTTCAGGTTGATGAATGTGTTTCTCGCCTTCCCGATTCTCGATTTGACATCCTCGTCCGTTCCTCCTGTGGTTGAGACAATGCTCCCCAGATAAGTGAAAGAAGTAACCTCTTTCAAATCCCTCCCGTTGATGGTGATTGGCACTGGATGTTGCTGCTGTTGTTGTTGTTGGTTGGTTGGTTATTTTCATAACCTCCGTCTTGTCTATGTTGACCTGGAGTCCTGTCTTTGCTGCTTCTTCGACCAGTTTGTCGGTTTTTGCTTGTAAGTCTTCGATTTTGTGTGACATCAAACATAAATCATCCACGCGCGAAATCCAGGTCTTCTAGGTTCTTCACGTTGGTCCAGGATATCCCTGTCTTCTCGTTTCCCACTGTCTGACGCATAATCCAGTCCACCACAATTAGGAATATCATTGGTGATAATAAGCACCCTTGTCTGACTCCTGTGTTTACTCCAAACGCTTCGCTGAGTTTTCCGTTGTGGATCACTTGACATGTGCCGTTGTCGTACAGTTGTTGAATAAGGTTGATGAATATTTGCGCTACGCCGTAGTACTCGAGTAGTTTCCAAATTACTTCGCGGTCAACGCTGTCGAAGGCCTTCTCAAAGTCTATGAAGTTGAGGTAGAGATTTGATTGCCATTCCATGCTTTGAAGATCCAAATTACAAACGGACAATTAGATTACCTCCTCGAAATTCAATTGGTGATTTATTTAATTGGTTAGTTAATTAGTTTCACTTTAGGCATGTATTTGGAGGCTAAAAGTTACATTGGGACGCCACTAAGCTGCACTAGTTTTCCGGTGTTTCAGTATGCAACTAGAGATTCCGTTTGGGAACCTCCTTTGGAAAATCGTGGCCTTATATTTAGATATTGAAATGATAACGACTTCTTATATCAAAATTTTGGAGAAACTCAGACAAAATTTTCAGATTAGATGCAAGAGTTAAAGCATTTTTTCTCTGAACATAAATAAAGTTTTGTTTTAAAAAATTTCTTATCATCTCAATAGCGTAATTCCAGATACTAATACAGAAATTAATACTTTGTCACTTATTGTACATGTAAGAAAGTGTTTACATATCGTGTTTTATCATCATTATTTATACTCAATAATGAATGAGTTTTCCTTCTGCCAGTCTAAATTTTGCGATTAGGCATTTTATAGTGTTTTCATGCATGAAGTAACGCAGTGTATACTACTAATTCATCTGTGTGGTCGGAACTGTTCGTTCTTCCTTCTGTAACAACAGAAGACAAGGGCCAGGCAACAGATCATTTATTAAGGAAATCAACGCATATTTATATATTTGCATGTACATTACTATGGATATTTAAGTAAACAAACAGTCTTCCGATTGGTTGTTTCTCACGTAAAGTTAATCTTTCATCTATTTGTGACTGTTTCTTGAATGTCAAATCCTCTATATGTTAACTGCATCCGTCTACGCAAAGTCTGCTGTGGTCGGTTTTGAATCAGTCTTTGTTCATATTTTCTCACGACAAATCTTGGGAACGTAAATATTGACATAAATTACTGTCTACCAATTTGGCTAGTAGACAGCTCTCACCACACAGACAGTTTTAGCGTCATTTGCTGGTGATCCAAAAAGCCGTTAAATGTTTTTGAATATTTTCTGCTAATCTTCCGGCCAAACAAACTTCGATTCACCTAATAGTCTGTACAGGGGGGCTGCTATCTCATTGAAGTTTTTCACAAATTGACTATAAAACGCCGCTCCTCCCAGGAACTGCCTTAGCTTTCTCTTGGGATTTGGGGCCGTAATGGTCTCTATCGACAAGATTTTCTCCGGAAGCGGTTTTATCTCACCGTTACCTACTTTATGACCCAGCAGCGTAACATTCCGTTTGGATATCTGAGATGTGGTTTTGTTGATGCGCAGTCCAAACTCTTCAATGCGTTTTAACACGGCTTCGACATGGTTCACATGGTCGCTTTTATTTTGACTGTAGATGACGAGATCAATACCGTACTCTACCACACTCTTCAAGTCTCCCAGTAAAAACGTCATCAATCGTCTGAAGGTTAACGGTGCAACTACTAGTCCAAATGACATGCTTTTAAACTGATACTGTTTCTGTCCCATGATGAACACCGTCTTATCTCTGTTGCTCTGTTTTATCGGTATTTGCCAATATCCTGACCAGGGTTGGAACACTGTAAAAAAGTTCGCGCTTTGTAGATTATCCGAAGTCTCTACTACAGTTGGCGCGGCACACGGTCTGAGCTCTGTCATGTTCTTTAGCTGTCGGAAATCGACTCAGAATTTGTACTTCCCATTCTCTTTCTTCACTAGGAGAACTGGAGAGTTATACTGACTGTCAGCTTCTTCAATAATATCATCCTGTAAAATCTCCTTCACTTGTCGTTTGACTTCTCCTTTTAAATGACATGGGACTCTTCGCGTTGTAAATAGTACCCTTTTGTGACCACTCAGTTGGATTTCATGCCTCACCTTGTCACAATTATCATAGGGGTCCCAATCTCCAGTGAACAAATGGTCGTATTCTTTAACTAACACAGTCACATTCTGTGCTTTCGACGCCGTAACGCATGCAATCTCGCTTTTTTCATATTGATAGGTCCGTACTTCGTTATCACTGCCCTCTCTTCCGTGTTAATTACCACACCAATCTCTCTCAAAAAATCAGCGCCAAGTATTGTTCGCCGTAACTTGGGCACAACAATAAACGGGAACGTAACTTCACGGCCGCCAATAAAAATGCTACAGTTTAACGTGCTGGCGATGCTTAACACATGTCCACCTACCCTTTGAACTGTCAATGAATACATTGTGACGCTCTGACGTAGATTGTTATCTATTAGTGAGACTGCTGTCGCTGTGTCTATTGAACATACTACTACTCGGGCATTTACTCGCAAATTAGAATATATCGCCCCCCTCTCAGTAGCTCCCACTACTTCTGGTCTGATCGAAGAGAAGAACACACATTATACTGTCTGGAGTTTTTCCTTTTCTTTCTTTCTGGTTAGTGCCTTCTTCAGAGTCCTGCTTTGCCACATTCAAAACATCGGTCTTTCCTGGCGTCCATTCGTAGTGTCGCTACTTCACACTGCAAATCTCCGACTTTCTGTTCCCGTTCGTTCAATTTCAATGGCTCTATCGCGGCTACCGTTGTGCTCAGCAGCTGCCTGGTCACTTTCACCAGCTCACCGATGTTCATGGGTTGTACAGCGTTAACCAGTTGTGGCTGCTGAGAAATGTGGTCTGGGATACTCCCGATGAACTAGGAATCCATTAACTGCGACTACGACTCTTCATCCGACGCGGGGGTGCACGACTTAGTAGATTCGTCAGCTCCACCGCCAACACTAGTGGGTCTCCATCCGGTCCCAACTTCGTGGCACGGAACCCGTTCGTCGGTCTGTCGAACTGTGCCACCAATCGTCCAATTAGTACCTTCTAGGTCTCCTTCTTACGTGACCGCCCCACACTGTCGTACGGTGCCTTTGCTCGACCTCGGCAGCGCCTTCGCCGTCGGATCCTTGACGTCTGGAATGGACGTTCAATTAATGGATCCCTGATGCAAGCTTTACTCTCTATTTACACCTGGGTAGTCGTCTGACAAACAGGTTGGGTGTGATTGACGATCTACTATTTTGTTTCTCATAAATCTTTTAATTTTTTTTACTGGTTTTTTTCATTACTTTTAACTTGTTTGCTAAAATTTTGTTTCTCAGTACCACTGTAATCAAACACAATGGCCGTCGTTTCCTTTTACGTACTCCTGTTTGTCCTGCTTTAAAACAGTTGAACAATATCGCTGGTATGTCATTGTCTAATATGCTTATTCAACATACATATGTGAAGAATATGATTGTGATTATTAATGTGTCTTCTTCAGTAGATTCTATTAAAATGTAACTGTTATTGGATGTTATGCCGCTGGCCTACATTTATCCAACACCATTTGATTTTAACTTCTCCATAATAATGCTTGATCAGAACAGTCTTTATCTTTGTCAGTTACTTGGTTTTCTGTCGGTTGGAAAATCTCGAAGAAAAGTGGTTTACTGTCTGAAAACCAATAGAAGGTAGTAAACGGGCTAAGGTGCGTTGGTGGTTCAGCGGTAGAGTGTCCTGGCTGACGCACACCTTTACCTCCCTTAGCCAGTTATAATCCTGACAGAGAGGGGAGTTTGGGTGTGAGGCTAGCAACCCCACCCCACAAAAATAACACCACTGCTACTGAAACTTCAAAGTTAAGGCTTGAAGCCCTGTGTTCCACTGGGAACGCAAAGGAATAAAAACTGGTTAAGGGACATGAAAATTCTCCTATATGTGTTGATTTACTGTCGATTCATAACTATGGAGAATGTATATAACCAATCAATAATCTAAGTCCTCTCACTCTGAAATAATACAGGCGTGTCAGGCTCACTTAGAAATAAAGTATTAATAAGGAATTGAAAAGTGATTTTTGAAATTTCTAACATTTTATGTTGTGAGAGAGAACTTAATACAGAGAGAGGCATTTCATTTTAACTACAAGTGTAGATCTAAAACACTGACCAATATAACCAAATCAATAAATCATTGTATTTGGGGTTTGGATTCATTTTTACAGACTACAATTAAACTAAGATATAATAGAGAAGATTTGTAGCTCAGGTGGATAATTTTGGTGTGGTTGTGTTCTCTGAGCTGGATGGTTTGGTTGCGAAGCTTTCATTGCTCTACTGAGCAACATCTTCAGCGCATACTTCGATGTGAAGTGAGCTTTTAGAATTCTCTATGAGTTTATTAGTCATCTCTCCTAGTAACCCTGAACGTGGTTGGTTGTTTTTGTGTGACATTTCACCCCCTAGTTTGCTTGTCTCGGTGCTGGCTGCTTCTTTGGTCTGAATGTCGTTAGTCATTCCTTCTGCTAACCTTGAACGTGATTGGTTGTTTTTGTGTGACTTCTCACTCTCTAGTTCACTTGTTTTGGTGTTGACTGTTTCCTTGACCTGAAGTTTGACTTTGTTTTTGTGTGAATTTCTTCGTATGGATTGGTATATTTTGTCAATCTCTATGTGTCTATTGATTGCTGATTCATTTGAATACCAGGCCTCTAGGAATTCTCTGGCATTTTTGCAGTTCCCTTTGTCTAAGATTTGAACATTGTTCCAGTCGAATTGGTGCCCGTGGTTGTCTGCATGCAGTGATATGAGGGAGTGTATGTCGTGTCTTCTGACAACCGCATCCAAAGAACCCTAAGCAAACTCACCAAAACGGGTCAGATCACAAAAGAAGATCAATGGCGAATGAAATCCAATGGACCCGTCATACCTCGATTCTACGGGAGACCAAAAATACACAAGCCAAATATACCTCTACGACCACTCGTATCACTCCCAGGAACCCCAACATACAATTCATCCAAAGAACTATACAGAAGACTGAAACACTTGACGAAATCATGTGATCACTCCATCCAATCTGCGACCCAATTCTTAGAGAAAATCAAAGGCATTGAAATAGACAGCCAAGAAATAATGGTATCCTTCGACGTCACGGCATTGTATACTTCGATTGGACTAAAATTAGCAAAAGAAACCATGGAACAACTACTCGACAACGACGAACACATACAACAATCAAAAATGCAGCATTCAAGTTGGATGGAATGCATAAACTTGTGTCTCACAACTTATTTCCAATTGTAGAACTAGTGTACTTCACTTCGACATTACTTATTTATTGAATTCATTATGTGTGGATAATCTTCTAAATGGGAATACATAAAGCCTATGTTCACTAACGATAAGTCCTTTCGAATCCCATTACCGTTATTACTGAATGTAACCTGAGTAGGCTCATAAGAGTATAAACATTTTAACAGTAACTTTTTCAACTAACTCTTATAGTCGTTATACTTTCAAGAATCAGAAAGAATGAAAAAATATTGCACTTTCAAACTATGTACAAAAGAAAGGGGTTCATACATACTTTTGACTGAAGTTGAGTATTTTCAGTTTCCTGTAACTATATGTTACTGTAATAGAGAAGATTTGTAGCTCAGGTGGATGATTTGCAATTAATTGCAAATATATGTTACTGTACTTGTAACAACAGAAGGAAAGACACGAAAGTCAAAGTATATTTTTCATTGATCAAACCGGTGTTTACATATCTACAGTTTATATTCGTTAACCAATCACTGAGTGTGTGATTTCGGTTTACATTAAACGACAAAAAATATAATGTTCAAATATTTATAGTATTCTGTTGCCAATGCAGTCTAACTGACTGACTGGTTTCAACATAGAACTTTTCACCGATGTGCAGCAGTTCGAATTACCACAATTCACTCAGCACACAAAGCCAGAGAAGAAGAAGAAGAAGAAAGTAAAAAGAAACGCAAAATAGAAACAATAAAGACAGATATGAGGCAAAAAGAATAGTAATATCGAATAACAACATAGTTTTATGGGATATTATAAGTCACAAGGAGTGGATGCATCTGCTCCAGCCATTGAGAACGATTTTGAGCCATTTCATTAATTGTCTCCAGCCACTGATGTTTACCGTCCCGAGGACCCCAACCAGGAAGTCTACACCTTCCTACGTGGCTGGCTTAAACTAACTGTTGTGGATTTCATTGACTGATGAGGCCATGTTTTGCTTTGACCACCACTGGCTCTTTTCCAATTTGACTCTATGTCAGTTAACATTGCCCATTGTCGGGGAAGGCGATGACTAGACATACGTAACTCATGTTCTAACCATCTCAGTTGATGTAACTTCACAGTCTCGTCGATTGATTTCTCCTCCCTACCTAACACTCGACACCTAACCTATCATACCACTTTACACGGGAGATAGAACGCAGGCACCTATGATGACAGACAGCCAGACAGGCATTTTATGTCCTCCACTCTCAATGGCCAGGTCTCACAGCCGCCCAGCCATAAAGGAGGACGGAGCGAACTGTTGAGGAATACACACGTCCTTTGGTCGATAGCCGGATATCACATCTACGCCAGAGACGTTGTAAACTGGCATATGCGAGATTTCGTCAGCGATCAACCCGTTGGGGCTGATGCAACTTCCCAAATAAGTGAAGTGGTCAACGCTCTCTACCACTTCACTCCCTATCTCTAAGCTAGGAGTCAATGTAGTCAAGTCTTGTAGCATCATCTTCCATTTGGCCAGAGCAAATCGCATGCCAAACATTCGCAGATTACTAATCAAGGTGTTCAGCAGACTCTGCATTTTGTCAGCGTCTTCACCTTGGAGAGAGGACTATATCATTCGCATATTCTAAGTCACTGCCAATACAGTATTCAACTGTGCGAAAGTATTTTTTCTCAAACATCAAATAGAATGTTCAAGTAGATATATCGTATTCAGTTGCTAATGCCTAATTGAACTGTGGGAACACGTGAGAATAACATTCTACTGGCACACAATGTCTGTATCACACTACCAAATACTAAATCAAAACAAGTAGTTGGTGTGCACAATTTGATTAACAGGATTTTTGATATGATTGAATGGACTTAACGTGGGTATAATAACACTAAACGCAATGGACAACCCTCAACTGAAGCATTAGATACTCCTATTCGTTCCTAGTGCCTTACGTTTCAGTGAGCCACGTAAATATCAAAGAAAAAGATTGGCCTGTGAATGTTAGGATATGAAGTTTATCTAGAAAAAACATAATGTTTATATATTTTTAGCCACGTTAGAATTCGACTAGGGTAGGGTAGCGGGAAATAAAATACTTTGATTGGTTGGCGGTTGGCCAAAGAGTAGACAATGAGAAAAAACTAGCAACAAAAGTCGATAAAGTAGGATATAATGAATTCATCAAATTTCGGCAAAACTTTTCAACTTGGTACTTTACATGCAGCAATATAAAATTAAGATAAAATGCATTACGGTTCAATTATTTTTACTATTTCTGATTCATTTAAATCTATCTTTTGTGATTATCATTATCTTGACTAGTTTTAGCATTATTATTATTGTCATTATTATTATTATTATTGGTTATTGTTACTATTATTATCAATATTATTTACTTCTCAATTCTTCGTATATTCAAGTTCTTTCACATACTGACAACTAATGTTTATTTAAGTGATATAATTGAACCGTAATGTACTTTATATTAATTTTATATTCCTGTATGTAGAGTATCCAGGTGAAGAGTTCTATCGACATTTGTGTGCGTCGGTGACACAGTGGTTAGGACTCTCGCCTAGCATGTACATGGTCCGGGTTTTCGATCCCCTGCCGACGCACACCTGATATCAATGATCGGTCTGCAAAATTGTACCAAAAATACGCTGTAGAGTTAGGCTATAATAAAAAAAAATTCACTGAATCCTGCCTTATAGACTTTTGTTTTTTGTTTTAAATTCGTACTGGGAAATAAGTGTTTCCAATGAGACGAAAGTTGTCCAATAGGGTTATTTCATAATTGAAAAGATTTGTAGTTCAAGTGAATGATTTAGATCTGGTTATGTTTACTGAGCTAGTCTGATGTAATTGCGAAGCTTTCTTCATCCTTCTAGAGAACATCTTCAGCGCAAGTCTCTTAGTGTGTAATGAACTTGGATTGAATTCTCCATAGTGAATTGCACTGGAGATGTTGTTTAGAAGGACAACGAAAGCTTCACAATTCAATCAATCAGCTTAGAGAACACAACTAACTCAAAAAGAGATTATTTCCTGTCCATATCATAAACTAGATCCAGATTGAGAAATAAGTACTTCTTCCTCAGCCCCAGCTCTACTGATTTCACACGTGTAACCACTTCCTGTCAATTTTGTTCTCTAAACTAAAATGACTCGAAAAAGTGAACAGTTGTCTTCTTTGTTTCGCTTGACGGTGATGTTGCACGTGTATCTGTTGTAGGTAGATTGTTTCGATCATTGAAATTTAGCACGAAATTAGTAAAATAGTCATCAAGTGGTTCATCTTAGGTAGTAGAGAAAACAAAATCGTCTGTAAACTAGTGTGTTAATTTATTTGGGGGAATTTTAAGTGTTTTTTTCTAGTGGGGTAGTAAGCATTCTGATTCCCACAAAATTTGTTTAGCTTTTCGATGATTTATATGAAAAAAATTTTTAAACTGAAAAAACTATAATCCTTAATGGAAATTATCATCATTATTATTTCTATTATTATATTTTAGCCCCTACTCATGAATTTCAACTCCCTGAAGATGTATGGATTGAATTAGTCCCACGGACTCATGCAGATTTATGGAGAGTAATTGAAGCAGAGCAAAATCCACGTCTACGTTTACGTGTAGATATTAATCGTCAGCTATCAGATGTGATTGCGTTAACAGAAAATAAATGGCAATCAGCTGCTGAACGTATGGTCAGTAATATTCCTATATATTATTCTATGAGACTGCGTTAGATTTTCTTTTGGGTTCAGGATATCTTTGTTTCTTCAACAGGAAAGAAATTGTATACTTTGATTGGACACTAAATAGTAACTAGTGTAATGTGTCTAGTCCTTTGTTTGGTGCAGACTGAATTCTATCCGTCACGTTTGCAATGTGGTCCCCATTCTAGGGGGCCAGCTATCACGGTGCACTTTGAACTGTTCATACTAGATAGTTGGGGGCAATCGGCCACAGGAAGCATTGGACCTAGGTTTCGTACTAGTTGGTACTCGTCAGCAGGGCGTATCCGCAATCTTGAAAAAAATCATGTCACTTTTGAAGCGAATTGTATTGAGTGTTTTTTTTTATGAGATTAAGTATATTTGGAATAATCATGGGATTTTTACAAACGTGTGTGAAAACTTGACGTGGCTGGCAATCATTCACAGCATGGCGCAGAAATATTTACTGCTCTCCATTTTCTAGATTTTAAAAAGCTTCAATAACCTGTATTTCTTTGTCGAACACATGTTTATCTGTCTTTGTGTCAATGCTATGGTAACTTGAATTAACACACATATTGGCAAGATTCTTAACTGATCTGTCGGTCAGTTAGTAAACTACTTAAATATTGAAAGACAGTTAGTTTTTTAGAACTCCAGATAAAATTGATGTTACGCTGTTAGGTAGATCGTCATTGTTTCATCGTTAAGTTACATCATTAATCAGATGAGTATTTGTTGATGATTGATAACAGATTCGTTATTGCCGATTGTTCGTATTTATAAGATAAGATCAAAATGTACTATTCTCTCATGTTGTATGATAACCCTTACACTATTGTTGACAGAGCTATTATTATTATTATTTTTGTGCATTGAAGTTTCTCTAGCAGTTTGATATCTTTTATGGTGTAGGGTCGCTAGCTCCACACTCAACCCTACCTCTTGGACTTGGAACCGGCTAGACCGGGTGACAAAGATAACTTGCAGTTTATTACTGCATTCTTAGTAGCACAGATGTGTGTCCTCCCTCATCAGGATGAGTGATTTATATTATTTTCATTTAATTTATTAGATTTATTCCCTACAAACTGATAATCATTTTGTAAAATTCAAAAAGTGAATTCTATGGTTCACTAGATAGAAAGGAGCAAAATATACCAAACAGAACCTTGGGAATACTAATTCATACTCTGAGATGTCATGGACACATCTTTCTTATCACAGATAGGTGCGCATGAGTTAGTCATTTAAAAAAAATACTAGTTAGATTCTTACCATGGTGATAAATGAAGTCTTTATAAGGGCTAGATTGATTCTTCTTTATTCCGTTCATGTAGTATCTTCATTATTTCATTCAAGGTGAGTTAGTATTTCTGTAGATTTCCCCTAAGGAATCTGTAGCGATAATTGACAATCGAATTTTCGATTAATTAAATCAGAACGTTTGACTTGGGCCTAAAGATTCAAAACACAGGATTGTTCAAAAACAAGGTCCTGTACTACATATAAAACTAATGTATAGGATATAAAATCGTCACGTATCTGGAACTGAAAGTAGCTGGCATGTTGCTAAGCTATTCAGAAGACATAGGATTATAAGTGACCTAGTATTTGGATACATTTACTCGACTGAAATTAACCAACATGTTCGTAGGCTGTTCAAATGCATGAGAATGTGTCCAAATACTAGTTCGCTCATAATTCTATATCTTTTTGTGGTGGGAGCTGTCTGCAAGCCAAAATTGTAGACAACAATTTATGTCACTGTACAGAATCAGGTCCATAAAAAAAACGATAACAAAGAATAACCTTGAGAAAATCACCAGCCAATCACAGCGGAAATATGATTCACAGATATCTGACTTGATTCATATGAAATGTGATCAAGATTTGACCGGATAGTTGCAAAATAATTGAGTGCCGAGTGAGAAGTAGACATCTATAAAATTATATTTGCAAAATCTCAGCGAAATTGAAATGATTAATAACAACGTTTCGTTCGGCAATCTGGTCCGAACTTCTTCAGGGAAATTAGTCGAAATTAACATAACAGAGGTTTATATATAAAAGGAACATCTCTTGTTTTTAAATTGTTTGTCCTGTCATATGAATCATGAAACAGGTATCATAAACAAAAATTGTATGAACTGTGATCAAAATTTGACCTCAGACTTTCAAAATTAGTCTACTTTTGTTAAAATATATGTGTATATGCAGTATACAATGGTATGTGTGTGTGTGTGTGTGGGGGGGGGGGTGAACAGTCATAAAACATTTGTTATTCTCTCCGTAAGAAGACATAGATAATCGGGAATTTGACCAAGTGTGACTAGTTGTTGATACATATCCAATTTTATTTATTAGTCAGGATTTGCCATGCATCAGATAACATCACACCTTCACGTCTGTTCAAACTGTTGGGATTCACCCATATATGTAGGGCTTCTGCAGTCAGTCTTTCTTTATATGAACCAAAACCTTTCTGTAAAACCCTAGTCTTATCAAAGTCGATTTTGTTTCCCGTTTCTATCGAATGCAGTGCAATCGCTGAGTTGTTTTCTAGCTTCTTCAAGTTTGCAGAGGTCTTTGGGACCACCTTTAGACATTGTTTGTGCTCTTTCACTCCTACATTTACCTGTCTGGAAGTTTCTCCTACATATTACGGCGTTACAATCCCCACAATTGATCTGGTATACGCAATTCTGCTGGTTTTCTTGTTCTATTTTATCCTTAACCTTCACCAGTAATGAATGTAAGGTGTTAGTTGCACGAAAATGCACTCTTATGTTATGATCGTTAAGGATTCGCTTTATTTCGTCGGATGTTTCTTTGCGGTAAGGAATCACCGCTGTACTAACCCAATTCTTAGCATCAGGTTTCGATTCATCCTTATCTTCACATTTTAAATATCTTTTTATGAAGTCTTTAGGATAATTATTTGATTCAAGAGTGGATTGAACCAATTTTAGTTCCTTGCTAATATCTTCCTCCTCAGTAACTAGACGTTTGGCTCTGTTGATCAGATTCTTGGCCACAGTTACTTTGGTGGTAAATGGGTGATCTAAATAGTAGTCTAGGTATATCTATCGGAATTTGTCGGCTTTCTGAAAATGTTTATTTTAAATTTGCCATCTAATTTTATTTTTACTAAACAGTCCAGGAATGCCAACTCATTCTCATCAGATTCAACCTCTTTGGAAAACTTGATAGTTTCTGACATATTGTTTATTAAGTGAAAAAGTTCATTTAACAAACTACGTTTGATTACGATGAAGGTATCATCTACGTATCTTAACCACATCTTCGGGGGACTAGGGCATCTCATAATCGCATTTGTTTCTAATGAGTGCATAAACAGATTGGCGACTAGCGGAGATACTGGTGATCCCATAGCAATGCCTCCTGTTTGACGATAAAGAACCCCTCTAGATGTAAATAATGTGGATCGAAGACACAATTCTAATGCCTTCGTAATTTCGTTTGGATTTAAAGGACAACGACCCCTGAGTTCGTCGTCAGAACAAAATGAATAATACTTAAAGAATCATTAACGGGAACATTCGTGAATAATGAATAAATATCGAAACTTGCCATTACTTCATCTTAAATTCATACGAGTTCTTCACTCCATGCTCCACTTTCATTTCATATGGGCTAAGTATTCGATAAATGTATTTAGAGAGTTTGTATGTTGGGGAATTAGTAAAATCCACTACTGGACGTAATGGAACTTCTGATTTATGTATATTTGGTAACCCATAAAATCTACAGGGGCTGCAACTTTTTGGAGCCAGAGTAAACCAAAGTGATACACCGAGCTTCTCTTTTATTGATTGTAACATTTTGCTTGTTTCAGCCTTCAGCTTATTTAATGTCGTCCTTGATTTATTCACGTTGAATTTTTCATAAGGTCCGTCATTAAGATGATCAATGGCCTTCTTTTCTTAATCTGCAGTGATCATGACAACCGTGATATTTCCTTTATCTGCTCTTGTAATTATAATTGATTTATCTTGTAGGTTTTTTAATGCCAGTTGCTCGTTTTTATTTATTTTCGGCGCATTTGGCTTCTGGTTCAGTAGTACCGCTGTAATTTTGTGTCTTATAACGTTTACCTCTTCGGCTGTCACTGACTTTAACGACGGTTCAATTGCTGGAACTACTTCAAAGGCTGATAAACGCCTTTAAAAAAATTGAAATTAAGTCCCTTTTAAAGGAGGGATAGTTCAGAATCTGATAAATTTCTATCAGAGAGATTGACCACCACTTTGTTCCTATCTAGAAAGTTATGACTAGACGGATTTTCAAATTGATGGTGTTTAGGATTAATGCTTAGTTGAAGTAACCTGTCAAACTTTTTGATTTGTCTAATGTTTGAAGATTGAAGATAAAATTCTTCTTTAAACTTAAATATGTCGTCAATGAGAGTCTTCAAATCTGATGGGATTTTGATACGCTGAATGAGGTAAATTTCGATGAAAATCAGTAGTATGGTTACAAATTGACGACTTAGTAAAGAGAATGCAAAAACTCATACTATTTATTACGAATAAGTAATATAAAGTGATACACAGGAAACAGCAACAAAGAAAAGATGCTTAGAGGATTTTACAGTCTTTATCCTAAGGACTGTATAATTCCTTTGGAAGTAGTTTATAAAATTCCAGCCTGTTAACAAAAAGATTTGGGTTGATTGTTGTTTTGTGAGCACTTTTGTTGGTTCCTAGCATCTTGAGGACGCCAACCAAACAGTCTTCACCTCTGTATATGACTCAAACCAACGGTCAAAGATTTTATAAATTGATGTTGTGTCTTGATTTAACAACTCCTAACTCTTTCCCAACCCTAATCCTATGCCGCTAAGACCGCTCAACAGTCATCTCATAAACACCAATTTACAGAATAAACAAAGTAACACTTGGTATACAATTTTCCGACTCAAGAATCTGTTTATATCTTTGACTTTATTTAAATGCTCCTTATTCTTTTTATCTGTGCCGGTAGTTCAGTGATAGATTTCTGGTTAAACACACAAGTAGTCTGGGGTTCGATTCCAGAACGTCGCCTAATTTACTAGCCGGTAGTAAACCTGGAAAGTCGAGAAGGTGGGCTAGTGAACCTAGCAACCTCTACCCCGTGAAATTGACTCCACTGTTACTGAAACTTTAAAAGCTTGAAACCAAATGTTCCTACAGGAATACAAATGAGTAAAATGGCATCTTTTTAATTCTATATTCAGGCTTATATTAATGAAGAGGCGATCTGTTATTCACAGCGATTCGACACTCATACACCTTGCTCTGCTGTGGTGTTTACGGAATACCGGAGGCTTAAACGCAAGCTATCTCAAGTGTCTTATTAAACAAAAACGCATGCGGTTCAGGGTTCGATCCCCGGCCACCGACCCACTCTTTCACCTCACTAAGCCAGTAATAAGACTGGTAAAGAGGGAAGGTTGGACATGAGGCTAGCAACTCCATCCCGTAAAAATAAACGCCACTGCTACCGAAACTTCAAACACCTAGCTTCTAGCCATATATCCCCTTGGGAACGTAAAGGAATTAGAAAAAAATTAAACAAAAATAAACGAATAAATAGTAACATCCTACCGAAAGTAGATGAACTCAGTAAGTTTCTGTATCACTCTCTCAAACTTCCTCAAGTTAAATGTGATGGTTAGTTTTTTTCCATTTTAAGATTGCTGAACTTCCTATTTTCGCTAATATTTTTCAGTATACTGAAATTTTAACCAAGTGAAAACTATTACTCAAGTAAATGTTTTTTTCAATGGAAATACTTCACCTTACAAATCATTGATTATCATTATCAGATGTGTTTCTCCTCTTAGTTGTATGTAGCATTCTATTTCACTGAATGGTTAACGTATTTCTACAACGAAATTTAGTTTCGTTGGCACAGTTAGCACAGAAGATGTCAGCAGACATGCTTATGAGATATCTACGATCAAATATCAAGGCTTGAAGAACACCTGACCTACAAATCTTCTTTACTAGCTAGCTAAAAGATCCTGTAAAGTACAGGGTGAAATAAAAATGCTCTGCTGAAAAGCATATATTCCATTCGGAATCTAGGGGAAGTGTGTCAATATATTTGGTAATAAACAGTTATGTACTTACAGCAGCCATATTAAAGTCGATTCACATTGTCTCCTCATCTATATTATGTAAAAAAATATGTGATGATTCCACTTGTTCTCATTTCTTGTTTTTTTTCCTTTTTAGAGAACTCTTTTAGATCTTCCAGTTGTAAATGAATATACTCCTTCATCAGTGATGCTTACTCTTTGTCCAGCTCAGTCTATCGATGGAGCTATTCGAATACAAGAAGTGGCACGGGTTCGTTCAGGGGATTTAGGATTACGTGCTTATTTAGATCGAATGAATACTAAAGTACCGCCACATCAGTTACAATCAAATGTGTGCAAAACAGGTAGATATTATCTTTTTGAACAAATCAGATTGCAAAAAATCCATTCATCATTCATCTTCCTTTCATTTTATCTCTGTCATCATATTAGTGTATTAAATAGTTTTATTTTCACTTATACACGTGCGTATCTATTATTTACATTACTTAGATAAAAGTCTACCACAATGTGTGTGTGTGTTAGTCAAGTAACTTCATAAAAATAGTATTTAGATTAAGTTATGTGTTTATAAGAGTAATTTACTTGACTGGAGTAGTGTGTATAAACGGTCGGTTGTGTAATCAGTTGTCATTTTTGTTTACCTCCAAATCTATATTCTTGCTCCGCATAATAAACACAACGAAAGATAAGGATAGACTCTATATTCGAAAAGCTATATTCGTCATCAGTCTGGTTATTTAGAAAATAGTCTTTCTGGTAATTTGACCGAATTTTTCAGCGCCCTTTTTCTCCTGTAGCTGATTTTTTGACGTTTAACCCCGAGAGTACTTACTCTAAAGTCATCTGGGTAGTATTCCAGTAGTTATGTTGCTGTGGATTAAATATGTGGCCTATTGGCATGATCATTCGATATTCAGGGGATCTCAGGTTCGAATCCTGTCTAGTCGACTGGTCTTATACGATAAATAATAATGATAACAATAACTTTATTCTGAAAATTATTTTTATACACAATACAGAATTTTCAGTGAGTTTCGCTGCAAAGTATTCACCCCTTGTGCAGAGTCTTCAAACAAAATAATAATCAATAATATATCATCTGAAGGAATATTGTTCCATCAGAACTATGATCCGATGCAACTTCACAATGTTCTTTTTGCCATTACTTCAAAAAAACTCCTAACGGCCGTAGAAACGTATTTGAAGTTGCTCACGAGTGTAGATTACGATTCATTGTGGTAATTAGGAGATAAGAAGTAGTCTGAAACGGAGTAAAACGGTGGATAGAATATTTAGGTAGCCTAGTGATTTAAGCAGGTCTCCGTATATATATATATATATATATATATATATATATATATATATAATTGTTGTATATGATCTATTGCACGGGTAACTGAGTTCTAACTGACTAAATATATCGCTCACACTATCCACCTAAAAGTTTCGACATCTGTATTATCAGCTTCCAGACGATAATTATGTTCAAGACTGTAGAAGTTTAGATGGTTGGAGGCAATCGGCAGGAAGCCTTGCATCTAGGTTTCGTGCTAGTTGGCATGGCACTTACCAGTCAGAAAGGCGTATCTGCTACCTTGAAGGAACTTATGTCCCTTCTGAGATTCGAACCGGCGTCACCCTGTGCTGCAGCAGAGACGTTACTACTGAGCTATTCGGGCTCGCGATTGATCTCTTGTAGGACTGTATTGGATATTTTTGACTGGACACTAGTCAGTAACTAGTGTAATGTGTCTAGTCCTATCTTCGCTGCAGACTGAATTCTATCAGTCAAGCTTGCAATGTGGCCACCATTCTAGGTAACTCGCCATCACGGTGCTTCCTGCCGATTGCCTCCAGCCATCTAATATCATCAAATCAATGTGCACCGTGATGGCGAGCTACCACATTGCAAACCTGACTGATAGAATTCAGTCTGCACCAAAGAAAGGACTAGACACGTCGCATTAGTTACAAGTGTCCAATCAAAATACCCACTACAGTCCGAAAAGCTCAGTAGTAACGTCTCTGCTGCAGCACTGGATGACGCGGGTTCGAATCCCAGAAGGGACATGAGTTCCTTCAAGGTTGCAGATACGCCTTGCTGACTGTTGAGTGCCAACTAGCACGAAACCTAGATGCAAGGCTTCCTGCCGATTGCCTCCAACCATCTAAACTTCTACAGTCTTGAACATAATTATCGTCTGGAAGCTGATAACACAGAAAAGTGTTTTTCACGTAAGATGTCGAAACTTTGAGGTGAATAGTGTGAGCGATATATTTAGTCAGTTAGAACTCAGTTACCCGTGTTACTAGTTACTAGTGTCCAATCAAAATACTGTAGAAGTTTACTACCTCAAAAAAAATCTATTTTTATACAAGCGAAAGTCTTCATGCTTGTCTTCAAAAACAAGTTTAATATTTAGGATTTAGCCACAATCAAACTAATTTATTGATTATTAATGCTGCAGTACATGTATGCTGTTAAACGGCAATCACATATATACGTGTGTTGCGTTGCATGATTGCCATCTCTCATAGTTCAACATTCACAAATCCAATCTCGTTAAATTAACCAATGAAGGTTTTATGAAATGTTTCAAAAGTTTACCTCATATTTTCTGTTTTCTTTAATTCAAAGTCATACTCATAATAGAGAAGTGAAAATCTTTCTACTTTGAATTGTTGTTGTGTTACTGTAATTCTGATGAGTATTCATCTAAATGACTAGTGGATAAACGTTCTGCGATATGAGTGTTTTTGTTTAAAGTGGAAACACACACAAGCCTAAAATATGGACTGACTTTTCAGGGAATTATGCATAATGAATATATACATGAATCATCATAATTGTCTTGTGATTGTCATGCCTTAAGTCAGTTAGCATGATTTCTATTAATTCTTCTGTTTGTTTTTAAATTAAGTTTGTTTTTGTTATTTCAATTGATTAATCATAGAAATGCAAATTAGGTTGATGTGACTAGATTTTCATTTGCAACTAAGAAAACTTGGTTACAGTGTAACTGTGTGACTTGCTAAACATCCGTAGAAATCGATATGCAAATACTGACAAAGTTTGACTGTTTGTGATACGTGCTGCGTATTTAACTTCAGTATAGCTATCTGACACTTATGACACTTATTATGAGAGTATTGCTAATCATACCATTTTTGTTCGTTGTAAGTATGATCATGAGAAGTATACATGTATTCCGTGACCTTATAGAAGTGTATATATAAACAGTGACTAAAGATGTCAACCTAGGAGCTATCTAAATAACTTAAGGGATTATTTGAATTGCTGTAGTTACGGGGTAGGCCGAGTATCTAATCTATCTATCCTGTGGTTTTTCAGTTTAAGGGGAATCGAATTAAATCACTTGAGGGTAACCAATGAAATGTGTAATGGAAGTGGAGTTTTAAGTTTTATCAAGACGGTGGCTGACATCGATCTGGTTTGTTTTGTCTGATGGTTTTGTGTGACGTCAATTTAGTCTTCTTCTCTTTTTGAACTTGCCAATGTAGTGGATGCAGAGATCGTCGTTTCCGGGTATGATGATGCATGGTGCTCCACTGTCTGACGGAGCTGAATAGGAGAGATTAAGATTGATTAGATTTAATGTGTGCGGGTAAAGTGAGCGACTCTGATAGTGTCATTGTTTGCATGATGGTGGTGGCGCGTCTCACGGAGAAGGCATTTCCTATATCACCATATATATATATATATATATATATATATATATATATATATGCTGACACTGCATGTGTTCCATGTGAGGTAGTGTTGTTTTACACGAACTTCCCAGTTAAACAGCCTAATGCCTGGTCTTATAGAATTAAGCAGAGTTAATAAGGATATAGTTTAAAGCTGTATTTCCTAGTCTTATAGGCTCTACTTGTAGGTTCACTATGCCTTACGTCAACTGACACTATTATGTTACGCTTGCCTTGTATAAAAGTCATCTTAATTGTTTCAGTCGACTCATCTATATATAATCGCTTTCAACTAAAACAGTTATTACCATCAGTTTCAACGTTGGTAAAAATAATGGCAAATATATCATGCCCTAAGTATTACTATTATAAACTACAACAGACCATTATTTTTAATTTTTCCACTATTTTAATATATTCATTAGAGAATTTTTTTAAATGCACTATTTACATTCTCACGATTCCCTTACTCTAATCTGTATGTGTAAGCAATTAATGTTGTGTTAAGTAAAAGATGAGTTGTTGTATGTGAAATGAAATGGATTGGTGTTTATCATGCAGACGACGAAATGTCTAACACAAATAATATTTACGTTGATCAACAATATTAGTAATTCTTTAGGTTTGATCAATTAAAGTGAATTCATTTGTGTTCTACGATTGTAGGTTGTTTTACTCTGCAAGTCATCACTATTATTATTTATTTTATATTATTCCTTTACTTTCCCAGTGGAAAATAGGGCTTCAAGCTAGAGCTTGGAAGTTTCGATAGCAGTGGCGTTTATTTTTGCGGGGTGGGGTTGCTAACCTCATGTCCAACCTTCCCCCTTTACCAGTCTTATTATTGGTTTATCGAGGTGAAGGAGTGCGTCAGTGGCAGGAGGATCGAACCTCGAATCACATGCGTGGTTGGCGAGCATCCTACCGGTGTGCCACTGACACCCACTATTATTACTGTTTCTGTATTATTATTAATATTATATTCATTCATAAAGAATTATTCATTGATGATTTGAGTTTAATACAATTATATTAATAGTTTATAATGTATGCTTACTGTTAAAATTTTCGAAACTATTGTAAACTTTATTAATTTCTACGATATATATTACGAAATTCTCAGAATGTTCTATTGCAAAGTATTTTCTCCTTATGTGGAGTCAGTGCTTTTCGACAACTCTCTAAACGACTTCCTTACACCAATCTAGCTGTTACGATTTATTATTTGTTATACACCAATCTAAGCCAGTCCACCATCAGTAATTGAAGAACTTTTTGAGTTGTTGATTTCTACGAAAACCATGTAAATGTCTTTTACATTAAGCATGACATTTCATCATCTCAGTTACTCTCATTTTCTATAGATCTCTTCTGCTCGTACAAACCTTAAAGTTTTGTTTATGTAATCAGCTCGACAAAATAATTTTTTATGCTTAAGATATTCAAATAATTCAGAAGACATAAAACATCAATTTTATTACTTTTCCTCCCATAGGACATAATGTGATATTCCAGTGTTCATAGAGGATTGTTCATTGAAATAATGCGTATATTTCTTCTGCGTATAGTTATCAGTCTTTAGAGGGTGCTGATGATTCTTTTGCCTTCATCAGTGGTTTTCTACTGTACC